GGAATAAGTTGAGTTCCAAAAAGAATAACAACAAACAAACAGATAGAGAAGGAGAACAGATTGGATGTTACCAGAGGGGAAGAGGGTGGTGGGAGTGTGAAAGTGGTAAAGGGGCACATATGTACGGTGATGGGTAGAAACTAGACTATTGTGAAGACACGATGCAGTCAATACCTAAGCTGAAATATAATAATGTAAACCTGAAATTTATACAATATTTTAAACCAATTTGACCTTGGTAAAATAATTTAAAAAAAAGAATCACAACTGTAATGGATTATGACTCAGAGATTAAATGAGAATCCATGAATACATAATGATATAAATAAAAGTAAATACATAAATGGAAGAGAAGGGAAACTTCTCTCTCAGAGATAACTAATACATGCAGAACTATGGATGGGATGAGAAAAATCACCATTTGGCCACCACAATTACAATAATGTTTCAGGCAAGAATCACTTGACTCATGTTAAATGTGATGTAATATATAGTGGTTGACATTTTAAAGAGAAATAGCATGTTTATATAACTACAAAATATCTACCCAAGTTATATTTATTAATTTCAAAGACAAAAATAGTAACTTCACAGTAGAGAAACCTAGAAGACACAACCTTAATCAACTGACCAAGATTAAAATCTCTCTTAATTGGGAAAATTGCACCTGCCTTCTGATGATATGCACAGATCTATAGGCTGAATCTGAAATATGTGCATACCTACATAATAATAAAGCAAAAATAGTTAAATAGGGGCCAAGCAGGTGGTGTACTGGTTAAGTTAGCATGCTCTGCTTTGGTGGCCCAGAGTTTGCAGGTTCGGATCCTAGACGGGGACCTGCACACCAATCACCAAGCCATGCTGTGGTGGCACCCCACATAAAAAAATAGAGGAAGATTTGCAACAGATCTTAGCTCACAGCTAATCTTCTTCATCAAAAAAAGAAAAAAAAAGGGTTAAATGATAACCTTTGGACAAGCTGAGTGAAATGTATATGAGAACTTTTTGTATAATTTTTACTTTTCTGTAAGTCTCAAATGGTTTCAAAATAAAAATTAAAAAATATACTTTGTCAGGGCTGGTGCAGTGGTCTAGTGGCTGAGTCCACGTGCTCCACTTAAGTGGTTCAGCTTTGCAGGTTTGGATCCTTGGTGTGGACCTACACTTGGCTCATCAAGCCATGCTGTGGCAGTATCCCATATACCAAACAGAGGAAGATTGGTATAGGTGTAAATTCAAGGCCAATCTTCCTCACCAAAAAGAAAAAATAATACTTTGTCCACAAGTACTCAATAGGAGAGAATAGAATATCCTACAGGTCTATTCTTAAGTTTAAAGTTGGCGTCCAGGCCGACAATTATGATCTTCTAAAATATTCTCCTTGAAGTCCCCGTCAGAGACAGACTATGAACTGCTGAACCATGGGCAAGACGCAGGAAAGTAATTCTATAAAATGGTATGTCTCCTCTTTACAAGTTTTCTGTCCCTATATTGAAACTGTAGTAGCAATTTTACCCCAAGAAAAGAAGCATGTCTGTAAGAAAAAGCATATAAGTATACTTTCCATGTACAAATTGGCGCATGAATGTGTAACTAGAACATGTTATCTATACTAATGTGTGGTAGATAATCTCCACTTGCCCATCCAGGTCCATTCTCCAGCCTTTCCACCATGGTTTTTCTAAGAGGTCTTATGAACTGCATGAACTTGGCTTCCAGGTCCTTTGTATTTGGCCGAAAGCAAGAGATCAAACACAAAAAGAGACAGACATTTGGGTATTTATTCTGTTTTCTTCCCTGCTGGACTGTAGGTTGACAGTGACTGTCTGCAGTCATGTCCAGGAATTTTCTCCTACTCCTACACGTCTCACTAGGTTCTCACAACCACTCCTTCCCCTTGTACTTGTTTCCCACTGCTGCTAGTCCTGGGTGCCACAGCATCCCTTAGTAGTTTCCATTAATCTTGCCCACACCTTTGTAAATAAGCCATTATTACAATCATTAAAAAAATTCCTGTCCCAGCTGGAACCATGCCTAAGAAGAAAGGCACTGCTGGCAGCAGAGAGACCACCCCATAGGAATCCTGTCGTCTCTGGCTCCTGGACATGTAGCTCCCCAAAGTTCAGGAAGAACTTGGCTAATTAACCTAAGGTGGCTCCTCCCTGACCCAGAAGCCTGGGGACTTTGTTTCTGTCTTCTTGCTGGTATTTAAAAAGTTATCTTTTTGCTCATTTCTCTAGCGTTCATAAAGGAGCATGGAAATTTGTAGAAGTGATGAGGCCACAGATATTTCTTCTTTCATCTGGATACCAAGTCTTCTGAAGAGAAACTGAGGATTTGGGCAGCAGTCTGGAACAAAATGTGTCTGAGGTCACTAACGATGAACAAAGGGCAAAGGGAGCTGGAAATCTACACTTTGCAGTGGATCTGCCTGTGTGCTTGTGAGTTTGCATGCCTTTGTGTTCATTGGTGTGTGTCTGCATCTATTGTGTATGCTCGTTCCCTTTGTGTTCATTGGTGTGTGTCTGCATCTATTGTGTATGCTCGTGTTTGTGTTGTTTGATAGCTGCATCCATTGTGTGTATCCTATGCATCTGACTCACAGCCTGCTTCTTTTCCTGAGTTGGACTCAATCTGGGCTCTATTTTAGTGCAGGAAGACCAAGTCATCAGCCTCCTAACATGCAGTTTAGGGACTCCGCATTCATGCCAATGATCTTAAATATTTGCCTCCTTTTGTTATGATGGGAACATTTCCAACACTGGACGGGTGTCAAGGAAGAGCAGATGAGACCTCAGCATCAGGAGTGACATTGTTGTCTCGACCGCTGGGAAAGATGATGCCCAACCTCCCCAAGGAACCCAGATCAGAGAGGGTTCAAACCACAACTCAGCAGTATGCTAGTGTATGTGTGAGCTGTGTTTGTGTGTGACACAGTCATGTGTGCAAGCAAGAAAGTATATTGTTTGCTTTTGTCTATGTGTATGTTGCCATGCATAAGATAGCATTGTCGGTGCTTTACTGATGTGCTTGTGTGAATAGGCTTAACTACTTCATGCTGACTACTTTCCCTCAGAAAGGGTATGGGTCAGAAGGGGCCAAAGAATGCCCCTCAGTAGTGGGAGTGTGGGTGCTGATTGTTGTGGTGAGTGTGTGGCTGCGTGTGCGTGTGCGTTTTTGGTGTGTGTTTCCTGTGAGACCTTTGCATTGTGTGTGCCCTGTGTGTTTTTGGTGATGTGTGTGTATGGTGATGATTTACCTATATGTGGAGAGTTGAATGTTTACCAAGTATGTCATGTGTCAGGTGCATTGATGTGCATTGTGAGTGTGTTTGTGGGTGAATGGTGCTTCCTCGTATGTTGTGTATGTCTCACTTTGTGCATTATTTATGACTTGTGTGAATGTATATGAGTGTTTATGAACTGAACCACATATTGACCATCCTTCCCTTAGGATGGGAACTGGTCACAGGTGACTGGAATCCTCAAATCAGCAATGTGTGTTTGCACGTGCGTGTTGTTTGTATGTGTTTTAGGAGTTCTGACTTTCCTCCATGACTCAAATGTTTCCTTTAGTATCTTACTCTGAAGCACCATTGACTAAGATAACTAAAGCCCCAAACAACTCTGTTTCTGAAATGGATCTGCTATGATTTTCATATGCCTGAATATGACTGTATCGCTCAGTGTTTTAACCATTCACTTAATATCCTAGGTAAAGACACATTGGGCGCCATACTGAGTGAAGTTAGAGTGCAGAACCCCTAGCAAATGGCAGGGAGATCTTGGGAAAATTGCTTAATTCCTAGGCCTCAGTTTTCAATCTATAAAATGGAAGCAATTACACTTGCCTCATGAAACTTACAGGCCCTCAATAAATATTGTTTGAATAAATGATAATAAATGTGAAAGACTTTCATCAATTGGAAAGTAGATCAATACAAGTGAATGTAACTATCTAGGACGTGAAGTAAGAAGATTTTGAACTACTTTGGCTTCTTCGAAGCCCTAAAGCAACACAGGCATCTAGCGCTCCTAATCAGGGATGGAGGAATTTTCCCATCCTGAGAGCCCAAGATCTGATCACACAGTTATATTAGATAGAACAGCATGAAGTAATCAATCTGCTAAAATTTTTGACCTACGGAAAATGGGAATACATAAACTTTATATATGCATGGAATTTATACCATTTATAATTCTGTTTCCTAAGAGCTAAAATAGGCAAAAGAACATTCATTCTTATAGAAGCTGGAAAGATATTTTAAAATTCTGGGAATGAAAGTCTGAGGCACAGATTTAATTAGCCAATGTACCTAAAACGTCCTCAGCCTGGTACCCAAATTGTTCACTAAAATGTTCACCATTCTTATGAAAGATAGTTAGAAAACTATTATGGTTTGGGATCTATTCTGGAAGCAGACAGCTTTAAATGACCACCTACTTCTAGAGTGACCATGATTTACAATTCTAGGTCTCTGGGACCCAGAAAGATTGACTGGAGGAGTGTGACAAAGCTTCAAGGACTTTGCCTCAGCACTGGAGTCTCATGCTACTTTAAGGTAGATACAACTGATACCAGTGTGTGGAGGCTCCTCTATTATTTTTGACACAGGGAATTATTACAATTTGGCTCTGTCTTGGTGTAGTAATTAACCCTGTATGCTCATCAAGATCTACACTCACAGAGATCAGGGACCTTGCCTCTCTTTTTTAGTCCTGCATTCTCAGTCCTTAGTTGACGTCCTTGTTCAGACTTGTTGTTCAAAAAATAATGGTCTAATGAAGCATTGAGCACTCTCTTGCTTCTGTGCAATGAGGTCTTGTTGACTGCTTTTGGGTATGATGTTTTCCTCGAGCCAGACTGGGATAGAGGGAAGATGTCTCCATCCACAGGTGTGAGAAATTAATGAAAGTGTATTTGAAAATTCACTGTTTTCCAAGAGAATTACAGTATGAAATGTGATGGTCTTGATCATCCTTTCTAGGTTCCTGAGATCCCCAAACTTTCTTCATCTCCAGCATATAGGACAGCAATATGAGGCCTGAGAACAAAAGCAGCATGTCTGAGTTCCTCCTCCTGGGGCTTCCCATCCCACTGGAGCAGCAGGGCATCTTCTTCGCCCTGTTCCTGGGCATGTACTTCACTACAGTGCTGGGGAACCTGCTCATCATCTGGCTTATCGGGCTGGACTCTCGCCTCCACACTCCCATGTACTTCTTCCTCAGCCACTTGGCCTTCTCTGACATTTTCCTTTCATCTGTCACAGTTCCAAAGATGCTCAAGAACATGCAGACTCAGCAACCATTCATCCCCTATGTGGGGTGCATTTCTCAGATGTGTCTTATCATAGTTTTTGGTTGTCTTGACAATTTCCTTCTTGCAGTGATGGCATATGACAGATACGTGGCCATCTGTCAGCCACTCCACTACACAACTGTTATGAGGCAGGAGCTGTGTGTCTCACTAGTAGCTGGGTCCTGGTTCTTCAGTTGTGCACATGCACTTTTGCACTCCCTCCTCTTGGTCCAATTGTCCTTCTGTGCTGACAATACCATCCCCAACTTCTTCTGTGACCTCCCTGCTCTCCTGAAGATTAGCTGCTCAGACATCTTCCTCAATGAGTTGGTCATCTTCACCGAAGGAGCAATGGTTGTCATCTTGCCTTTCTTTAGTATCTTAGGCTCATATATCCATATTGGGATGACAGTCCTGAGGGTCCCCTCCAGGAGGAGACTCTTTAAAGTATTTTCAACTTGTGGCTCCCATCTCTTTGTGGTGTCTTTGTACTATGGGACCATTGCAGGTGTTTACCTTTTCTCCTTTTCACAGAGTTCCAATGAAAAAGACCTAATTGCTTCAGTCATGTATGCAGTAGTTACCCCCATGCTGAACCCCTTCATCTATAGCCTGAGGAACAGAGACATAAAACATGCCCTAGAAATATTTGTCAATAAGGCCAAGTTCCTTAAGTGACAATCACTAAATCCTCTTATTGCAGTCATGAGCACAGTGAGATATATCTCCTAAAATTATTATATACATGACAACTCCATATAACTTTAAAAGCATATGCATTCTGCTGTTTTTATAGTGTTTTTAATATGTCAACCAGGTCAAGTGAGCTACTTGTATTGTTAAATATTCTTTATTACTAATTAATTTGTGGATTTGTCTTTTTTCCTTGTAGATCTGTCTATTTTTGATTATTGTTTATTGGCCCTGAGTTAACATATGTTGCCAATCTTCCTCTTTTTGCTTGAGGAAGATTGGCCCTGAGCTAATATCTGTGCCAATCTTCCTCAATTTTGTGTGTGGGACACTGTCTACCCATGGCTTGATGAGTGGTGTTAGGTCCACGCCAGGGATCTGAACTTGCAAACCCTGGGCCATCAAATCAGAGCATGTGAACTTAGTTACCAAACTACCAAGCCACACCTAGCTTATATATTTTTTATGCTATGTTATTGAGGACATACAAATTTAGCATCATGATCTGCTCCTGTTGTGCTGAGGCTGGCTTACGTTGGCTTCAAGGTGATTGTGTACATTTCTTCCCCAATCTACATTAAATGACATCATTTTGGTAGACTGATGTCAACCATAGTGCAAATAATTTAATTATGGAAATTGATAAGTGTTACAAATCAAGACTTCATAAAAAAGTGAGAAAAAGAGAAAGAGAGAGTCATTTTTTATGCATTTACCAGTATAGTACTGCATTTATAATTAGGAGATATTCCTCTTTATCTCATCAATGGCTCCTATGTTAACATCTCATCTACTTCTTCTGATATTACTATAGATATACCAACTTTCTTTTGGTGAGTGTTTGCATGGTGTTTCTTTTCCACCATTTTACTTTTAACTTTTCTATGTCCCTCTATCTGTGAAGTGTCCATTGTGAGAATAAAATTGGATTTTGCTCTTTTATATGCAGATCAACAATAATTATAGTTTTGGAGAATTAGATCTATTAACATCTAATGTAATCAGGATATATTTGAATTTATGTTTTCCATATTACTATATATTTTCTACGTGAAACATGTTTCATACTTATTGTCATCTCTTTCTCCCTTTTTATGTATTAAATATATATATAGTTATTCCATTCCCCTTCTATTAACTTATGTCTCATACAGTAATATTATTTTACAATTCTTTTCTGTGCTGTATGTTGAGATTATTTCTTACATTCTCTTTGAATTTTTTTCTCTTGTTGTATACACAATATGAAATTTCCCATTTGAACCCTTTGAGATATAAGATTCAGTGGCATTTAGTACATTCATCACCACTGTCTCATTCTAGGACTCCAAAAGGAAAGTCTACAAAACATCACAGCAATTGAGTACTCTGCAGATGAGAATAAATAATGACAAAGATATCTAAGAATCAACATGGAGAGATTTACAGGATATATTGCTAAATGAAAAAAAAAAAGTTTAAACAATCTATAGTATGATACTTTTTGTGTAATAATGAAGGGAAATTAAAATGCACATGTGTCTGCCAATTTGTGCAAAATATGATGCTAGAAGAAGAAATCAGAAACTAATGAGATTGCTTACCTACAAGAGGAGGGTACGAATGGTGTAGAAAAGTTGGGTAGTTTTGACTATGTTATCTTTTGCCTACTAGACAATAAAGAGAAAAGGGTAAGGAATAAAGCAAAACAATAAAACAAACAAAAAAAGATCTATGTTTCAAATTAATAAGCATAATTAGACTATGGGGAAAATAACCTAAGTAATTCTTGAACAGAGAATTTTGTTTATATAATCTCACAAGAAAAAAAAACTGTAAACAAAGTTTTTGAGCTGCAGTTAGTTGGTCATTAACAGTGGTATTGGTTCAAGAATTTGAAATTACTTAGCCTGTATTCAAAGATTGAGCAAATAAGTAAACAGATTGTGGAAAGGGGAAATGACTCCTCACTCTTAGGGAAAGAAGCTATGTGCAAAGAAAAGGAGGGGCTGGAAGGAACTCTATGATGTCAAACTAAAATTGGAGATGTCAAATTGAACCATGATTTTTCAAATGTGTGAACAGATTGAAATTTATATATTGTATATGTCAATAAATATACTGTTCCCGTTATCTTTCTTTCTGTCCTACTTCTGACCCACCTCTATGGGTAACCACTCCTTTAGTTTATTAGTTTCTAGTGTCTACTTCCTGTGTTTCTTTTATATGTGTTTCATAGCTGCATCCTCTGAGATCACTTAGAAGACTTGAAAGCAATGAACACACCTAATGCCAAATTTGCTCTTTACCATGCTCCTCTAAAAGGGACCAACGTTACTCAGAAGAACTGCTGATTCCAGGGCCAAGGCTAGGACATTACAAGATTATCCAAGCAAATTTTGTTAAGTCTGAAAGTAAAAAGTGCTAAATGAATCATGGGGACACATGGCCAGCTCGAAGGGGCTCCCACTGGCCAAATCTGGAATAATTTGAGCTTCAAAATTGATAACAACAGTAATGGATTGTGACTCAAAGAAGTAAGAATTCACAAGTTCTAGATATAAATAAATCAATGAACAGACATATGAGTGGGGGCTGATAGAATGTTCCTTCTTATAGGACGACACAACTGATAAAGGTAGGAGAAATGATAGAATCAGAAAATCATCATTTGTCCACCACATTTTCAATAATTTTTTCATATAATAATCAACAATGGATATGAAAGATAGTAACTGAAATTTTTTAAAAGTTATGGCTATGTAGCCTGCAAATTCTATCGAAATGATATATATTAATTACAAAGGTTAAAATAGTAACTTTACAGTAGAGAACCAAGCCGATACCACCTTAACCAATTCATCAGAGATAAAAAATCAGTAGTAATTGGAAACACTGATATCATGTGCTTTTCAATAATATGTTCTGTGGTAGATATGCCAAAAATCTAAGCCTTAAACAGACATATATGTAAGTAAACATACTAAAATGTTAACCATTGGAGAAATCTGGGTGAACTGCATGTAGGAATTTTTACAACTTCTCTATAAGCTTGAAATAATTTCAAAATAAAAAGTTAAAAAATCCTTTGTCCCAGATGGAACCATGACTAAGACAAAGGAGTCCCAGGCATTGCTGGCATTAGGGACACCAACCCCTGGGACTCCAGCGCTCCAGCTCTTGGACATGCATCTCTCCAAAGGAGAGCCAGACTTTAGCAGGAATTTAGGGGAGTTTGTTTCCGTGCTCTAAATGGTAATTAAAATGCTATCTTTTGACTCATTTCTCTCCAGCTGGTTAAGAAATATGAAAGTCTGGAGAAGCCCTGAGACCACAGATATTTCGTCCATTTGTCTGGATACTGAGTCTTCTGAAGAGAATTGAGGATATGGGCTAAAGTCTGGAGCATAAGTTGTTCCAGGTCACCAATGATGAGCAAAGGTCAGAGGGAACTGAAAATCTACACTTGGTGATGGATCTGCCTGTATGCATGTGGTTTTGCGTGCCTTTGTGTTCATGAGTGTGCATGTGTGTGTGTATGCTTGTGTTCATGTTATTTGATAGTTACATGTATGTGTGTGTTCTATGTATCTGACTCACAGCCTGATTCTTTTCTTTTGTTAGACCCAATCTGGGCCCTATATTAGCTCATGAAAACCAAGTTATCAGCCTGCTAACATGTGATTAGGGACTCCCAATTAATGTCTGTGATGTTAAATACTTGCATAACAGCTGGGCGGATGAGAGAGCTCAGCATCAGGAGTGAGATTGTTGTCTCTGCTGCTGGAGAATAAGACGCCTGACTTCGCCAAGGAACCCAGGTCAGAGAGGGCTCAAACCTCTGCTCAGCAGTGTGTGCTAGTGTATGTGCGAGCTGTGTTTGTGGGTGACACACTTGTATGTGAGAGTGGGAATGTGTATTGTCTGTTTTTGTCTGTTTGTATGTTACCACATACATGGGTTGTTGGTGGTTAAATGATTGTGCCTGCGTGAATGGGCTTGACTGCCCCACCCAGACTGACTTCCCCTGGGGAGGGTGTGGCTCAAAAGGGGCCAAAGCACGTCTCTCAGTAGAGTGTATGTGTTCTGCTTGTTGTAGTGAATGATGTGTGGCTGGGTGTGCATGCGTGTTTCTGGGCATCTGATTGGCATCCATGACATGAAAAATTTCCTTAAGTGCCCTCCTTCTGGGACACTACTGGCTGAGACAAACAAATTCCAAGCAACCCTCTGTTTCCTGAAAAGGATCTGCTATCATTTTAATATAACTGAGTATGACTGAGTCACTTAGAGTCTTGTCACCTTTTACTTTCACTAAACATCTCAGGCAAAAATACTGCAGGCATCATATTTTGTGAAGTTAGAGTGCAGAATCACCATCAAGTAGTGGAAAGATCTTGGAAAAATTACCTAACTCCTTGACCTCAGTTTCCACATCTATAAAATGGAAAGAATTATACTTGCCTTGTGAAACTTACTGGCCCTCGGAAAATGTTTATTGTTTAAATAGAAGTTAATTGAACGTGAGAAGTTTTTTAATCCGTTGAAAAGTATATGAATATGAATGAATGAAAATACCTAGGCAGGGGAATAAGAAAATTCTGAACATCATTGGTTTCCTTGCAGGCCTAAAATAATATAGGGTGCTTGGCTCCTCTGGCCAGTGAAATGGGAAGTTTTTATGTGTAGTGGTTAAGAGCATGTGCTCTGATCACACAGTCATATTAGATTGAAACACACGAAGTTGCTAATTCTTTAAAATTTTTAATTTACAGAAAATGGTAATATGTTTATATTAAGTAAAAATATTATGTATCATGCATATTATATGTATATGCACACATAAATGTGTGTGTGTGTGCCATCTCTGTCCCCTGCTGTGCTATTGGGGGCCTGTTGAATTGATACTGTAAATGTTTACAATTCTTAAAAGCTAAAATGCATGAAAGAATACAAATTCTTAGTGCACCTGTGAAGAGTTTTTTAAAATCTGGGAATGTAATGCTGCTATGTGGATTTAATTAGGAAATGTAGGTAAAGTCCTTAGCCTTGTATCCAATTGTTCACCAAAATATTCGCCATTCTTATGAAAGATAGTTTGTGGAGGATTCTGGTTTGGGAGCTATTCTGGCATCAAACAGCTTTAAATGACCACCTACTTCTAGAGTGACAATGCTCCTATAATGCCGCATCGGCATTGGGGTTTCATGTTATGTTAAAGCAGAAACAACTGACATCAGTTTACTGAGGCTCATCTACTATTTCTGCCACAGTAAATTATTTTGATTTAGCTCTGACTTGATGTATTGAATCATCCCTCTATGCTCATCAAGATCTACACTCACAGAAGGCAGGGACCTTGCCTTTCTGTTTACTACTGCAATCTCAGTCCTTAGTACATGTCCACGTTCAGCCTCAATTTTCAATAACTAATAAAACAGTGAGTAGTCTGTTGCTTCTGTGCAATAAGATCTTGTTGGCTGCTTTTGGGTGTGATGGTTTCCTGGAGCCAGACTGGGATAGAGTGAAGATGCATGCATCAACAGATATGAGAAATTAATGAGTGTAGTTAAAAGTTGATTGTTTTCCCAAAGAATTAAAGTATGAAATGTGATGGTCCTGATCATCCTTTCTAGGTTCCTGAGATTCCCAAACCTCCTTTATCCTCAACATATGGAAAAGCAGTATGAGGCCAGAGAGCCAAAGCAGTATATCCAAGAACCTCCTCTTGGGGCTCCCCATCCCACTGGTACAGCAGGGTGTGTCCTTCTCCCTGTTCCTGGGCATGTACTTGACCACGGTGCTGGGGAACCTGTTCATCATCCTGTTCATCAGACTGGACTCTCGCCTCCACACACTTTTTTCTCAGCCACTTGGCTTCACTGACATCTCCCTTTCATCTATCGTGGTTCCTACAATTCTGATAAACGTGTGTAGTCAGAATAAATCCATCCCTTATGCTGGATGCATTTCACAAATGTATTTATTTATTAATTTTAGTTGCATTGACAGATTTATTCTTGGAGTGATGGCATATGACAGGAATGTGGCCACCTGTCACCCTCTCCACTATACCATCATCATGAGGGATGAGCTTTGTATTATTCTACTTGCTGGATCCTGGTACTCGTCTTGTAGCCATGCTCTGTTGCACACCCTCCTCGTAGACCAGCTGTCCTTCTGTGCAAGTACTCTCATCTCCCTCTTCTTTTCTGATCTTGCTGTTGTGCTAAGTCCTCCTGCTCAGACACCTTCCACAATAAGCTGCTTATGCTCATTAAGGGAGGACTGATCTTCATTCTGCCATTGAATGCTATCTTGGGCTCATATGTCACCATGGCAGTCATCATCCTGAAAGTTCCCTCCATCAAGAGAATCTGTAAAGCCTTATCTACATGTAGCTCCCACCTCTTTGTAGTATTTTTATACTGTGGGGCAATTGAAGGTGTTTACTTTTTCTTCTCAGCAGGCAACTCCAGAGACAAGGATAAATTGCTTCTGTGATGCACAATGTTGTCACCCCTATGCTGAAACCATTTTTTGATAGCTTGAGGAATAAAATCATAAAGCATGTTTTTCCGAAAAACTCATGACCGACTACACCCCTTGGTGGTGTTAATTCAATCTGGCTGCCATGGGCACTTATGGGGGCTGTGAAATATTTCTCCGTCAACTGTTGAAACTTGGCCAGCTCTTATGGACAGTCTTTTAACTCTTAGCAATTCCTCTCTTGGTCTCATTTTACATTTCCTCTCATCTTTATGTTGATTGCTGTTTTTCCCCACCTGCCCTCTGAGTTCAGTGTGTTAATTCTCTGCAGTGAAACTGCAAGCCCTCCTAAACACTGACGATGTTCACTGCAAATGTGTGAGACTTTGGAGCCACTTCCCTGGGCTCTAAGAAATTTTTAATCTATGATTTTTCTTTATGATTCTCTCTATCTGCTGCTGTTGGCAACACATATTAATATGAGTTTTCATACTACCACTCAACTTCATTTACTTGATGTGTGAGAAATTCAGAAGTTACCAAACTGCTAGATCTATGAAAGAGTTGAGTAGCTATCACAGCTGACATTCCTTAAACATTTAAATGTATATTTATTGTTCCTCAGAACGGTCCTCTTTTAAGGGTGTCAATGTTTCCATATTTACAAAGAATCAAACGAAAGACTAAGGAGATCTTTTAAGTAGCTGCCAAGACTTGACCTCATACATATGTGACTTCAGATGATCATGTGTTTTACCATATTACTTTATTACCATTTTCCTGATTTCAAATAAAATTAGCCAATTTGGCTGTTTTATGTATAAAGCACAGAGTGTGTCCTCTTTTGTGTTCTCATTGTGTTTTGTTCTTTATAGTTATGATTAGCTCATTCTCAAGGCTTTACAGTTTTCAATTGTGCCTATATTATTTAATCTATTCATCAAGTCTAGTTCTGATTGATATTTGGTCATTTCAAGTTTGGGGCTTGTGTATGTAACTAATAATTGAATTTTTGGATGAAAATTTATGTTTATTTCAATTAATTGATAATTTTTAAGAAGTTAGACAAAGTGCTTGTATGAGTTTACATTCTTCCCTGCAATATATAAAAAGGTGTGGCCCACTTACTTACACTTATACTGTCCATCTTTTCTACTGTACACATTCTTATTAGGTAGTAGAAGTACTGTGTTGGTGTTTTAATTTGCATTTGTCTGATAACTCATGTAGTTTGTGTCCTTTGCCTTTGCTTATTGATCATTTGTGTGTTCTCTCTTGTAAATGGTCTGTTACTAGTCAATTGCTGCTGTTTGATTGGATGTCACTTTTTTTCTTGTTGGTTTCTAGGAGTTCTTTATATCCTGGATATGACTATTGAAAATTTATTCTTTCATTATGTGGCTTGCTTTTTCATAATCTTAATCAGTCTTCTGATGAACAATGTCTATATATCTTAACCTAGTTATACACAAAAATGTTTTTCATATGTGGCTAACTCTGTGTCTTCTTTAAGAAACTTGTCTATTAGGAGATCTTTGAGATGTTGCTCCAGGTTTTTATCTTAAAAGATTCTTGTTTTGCCTGTATATGTGTATAAAAATTCCATCTGGGTTCTTTTTTGGTGGATGATCTAAGATGTGGACACAAATTAACTTTATTTCATATGGATATCCAATAGATATACAATAATTGATTAAAAATTCCATCCTTTCTCCATTCTACTGCAGTATTGCCTTTGTCATAAATCAAATGACAGAATATTAATTATCTTGGCTATTATTCCATCTTGCATTTCCATTTTAATTTTAGATTCTGCTTAACAGTCAAAAAGACATAACTGTTCATATGTTGCTTGGTATGGTATTCAAAATACAAAAGAGCTTAGAGAGAACTACCATTTTAAAAAATATTTAATCTTCAATCTGAGAACATGCTATGTATCTTCAGTTGTTTATATCTTCTTATCTTCTTTCAATACATTTCATCATTTTAGGAGGACTTAGACATCTTTTGTTCAAGCTTCCCCTAGATATTTCATATTTGTGTCCAATTTTAAAATATTGTAGTATTTACACTTCATATTCAGTTTTTTCCACCATAGAGAAATATAGTTGACATTTCTTTGTCAAAGTCAATATAGGACTTTGCTTAATTCATTTGTTTATTCTTATAATCTGTGTATATATTGTTTTGGATATTTTAGGTAAATCATAATATTATCAGTGAATCATAAAAATTGATTTCTACTCTCTCAATGCTTAGACTGTTTATTTCTTTTTATTAACTTAATGTACTAGTTAAGATTTCTGATTCAGTCTTCTATTTTTGCAACTTTATATAATAAAATTCACCTCCATTATTTTTAGTAAATTTGCTGAGTTATAACCTAGGAAAAATTGATAAGTTCCTAGAAACATGCAACTTACCAAGATTGTGTCATGAAGAAATAAAAATCTTGAAGAGACCAATAACAAAAAAGGAGATTGAATCAGTGACCATATGTCTCCCAACAAAGAATATCCCAAGACCAGATACACTGGTGAACTGTATCAAATATTTGAAGAAGAATTAACAGCAATCCTTCTTAAATTCTTCCAAAAAATTGAATAACATATAACACTTCCAAACTCGTTTTATGAGACCAAGATTACCCTGATACCAAAGCCAGTCAAAGACACTACTTGAAAAGAAAACTAAAGGGCAGTATCCTGATGAACATAGATGTACAAATCCTCAATAAAACACTAGCAAACCAAATTCAACAGCGATATTAAAGGGCTCATATACCATTACCAGTTAAGATTTATTCCTGAGGTTCAAGGATTGTTCAATATATGCAAATCAATTAATGCAATACACCCCATTAACAGAATGAAGAATAAAAAACACGTGATCATCTCAATAGTTGCAGAAAGTGCATTTGACAAAATTCAACATCCTTTCATGATAAAATCTCTCAAAAACTAGGTATAGGAGGAACTTACTTCAACATAATAAAGGTTATAAATGAAAAGCTCAGAACTAAGGTCATACAAAACAGGAAAAATCTGATGGGTTTTCCTCTAAGAGCAGTAACAAGATAAGGATGCCCAGTCTCACCACTTAAATTCATCATAATACTGGAAGTCCTAGTCACAGCAATTAGGCAACAGAAAGAAATAAATGAATATGAATTGGAAAGGAAGAAGTAAAATTGTGTCTGTTTTTGCATGACATGGTCTTCTACACAGAAAACTCTTAAGACTTAAGAAAAAGAACTGGTAGAACTAATAAACAAATTCAGTAAAGCTGCAGAATGCAAAATCAATGTAGTAAACTTCGTTGCATCTGTACATGAACAACAAACTACCTGAAAAAGAAATTAAGATAACAATATCATTTACAATAGCATTAAAAACAATAAAATACTTAGGAGTAAACTTATCTAAGGATGTGAAGGATTTGTACATTGAAAACTACAAAACGTTGATGAAAGAAATTAAAGAAAATACAAATAAATGGAAAGACATCTCGGATCAAGAATTGGCAGATTCAATATCGTCAAAATGTCCATACTATCCAAAGTCATCTACAGATTCAATGCAATTCCCATCAAAATCTCAATGGCCTTGTTCACAAAAACAGAAAAAAAAAATCCTGAAATTCATACGGAAACACAAACGTCCAGAATAACCAAAGCAATCTTAAGAAAAAAGAACAAAGTTGGAGGCATCACAGTTTCTTATTTGAAAATATATCACAAAATTACTCTAATCAAAACAGTGTGGTACTGGTGTAAAGACCAACACATAAACCAATGGGACAGAATAGAGGGATGAGAATTAAACCCACACATAGATAGTGAACTGATATTTGATAAGGGTGCCAAGAACAGACAACGAGGACAGGATAGTTTCCTCAACAAAGGGGAAAACTCGAGAGTCATATGCAAAATCTCACAGCCCAAGACATAGAAACAACCTATCTATTGACTGATGAATGGATAAAGAAGATGTGGTATATATTTACAAGGGAATATTATTCAACCATAACAAAGAATGGAATTCTGCCATTTGCAATGACATGGATGAAGCTGGATGACATTATACTAAGTGAAATAAGCCTAACAAACAAAGACAAATAACGTATAGTATCACTTATAAATAGAAACTAAAAAAAAAAGTGAAATTCATAGAAATAGAGTATAATGGTAGTTCTTAGGAGCTGGGGGTGGAGGAAATGGGGAGATGTTGGTCAAAGAGTCCGATTTTCAGTTATGACATGAGTAAGTTCTGGGGATCTAATATACAGCATGTTGACTATAGTTAACAATACCGTATTATATGCTTGAAATTTTCTTTTTTTTTCTTTTTGAGGAAGATTAGCCCTGAGCTAACTACTGCCAGTCCTCCTCTTTCTGCTGAGGAAGCCTGGCCCTGAGCTAACATCTGTGCCCATCTTCCTCTACTTTATACGTGGGACGCCTGCCACAGCATAACGAGCCAAACGGTGCCATGTCCACACCTGGGATCTAAACCAGCGAACCCTGGTCCGCTAAGAAGCAGAACATGAGAACTTAACTGCTGCACCACGGGGCCGGGCCCTATGCTTGAAATTTTCTAAGGCAGTATATCTTAAGTGTTCTTGCCACACAAAAAATGACAACAATGGAGGTGATGGATGTGTTAATTAACTTAAGGAGCAAAGGGGGAGAAATTTCACTTCTTGATTTAAAAATATGCTGTAAAGCTACAATAATCAAGAAAGTGTAGCACTGGCCTAATGATAGACATTTAGACAAATGCAAAAAAATCATGATTCCAGAAATAAACCTTATGTTTGTGGTCAACTTGTTTTTGACATAGGCGTGAAGGCAAGTCAATGGTGAAGGGATAATCTTTTCCACAACTGGTACTGGTAAATTGAAGATAAAATCTGTTTCCTTGGGTTAAGAAAAGATTGCTTCGATGATCCATGAAAGAAAAAAATGATAAATGAGACTTCATCAAAGTTCAAAACTTTTTCTCTGAGAGAGACACCATTAATAAAATGAAAGGAAAGCCACAGAGTAAGAGAAAATATTTGTAAATTATATATGTGTCTAGTATCCAGAATAGAGAACATC